GGGAGGGATCATCCTAATGACTGGCGGACAGAGAAAAAACAATTGTATTCTTTGTGGAGTTCGGGTATTTCCGTTCAGTTGTCTAAAAGGCTTGATGTTTCCCCCATTCCCCACCCCATACCTCTCCGCCATCCTCGCGCACAGCACACGACGTGCGGCGCGCTTAAGCTCTGACACGGTGGTCAAGGGCGTCAGGGCGCAAGGAACGGGCGAAAACTTTGTACCCGTCGTAAACATGGCGTTCGAGCGGAATTCGTGAAGTTGTGAGAGATATTTGTCAGAGTGTTGCCTGCGGCCGCCGCGGGGTGAGGTGAAGGGGAGGTGGGAGCTGTGCGCCCCTACACGGCCATATTTTACGATGACCAGTCCGAAGCATGCCTGAGGACCACGTTCAGGGGGTGAGAGAGAGAGAGAGAGAGAGAGAGCGCAGGGTGTATGGGGGAGATGTTTGTGTGTGTAAGAGAGAGGGAGGGAGAGAGCTACGGGCATCTCTCTCTCTGGGCAGCCGGGGCTCGCTTGCAATGAACGTAAATTACCAAATGCAGCGCTCACTAGCCACCCGGGCTGTGTCCAGCCCTAACTGAAGCCTGATTAGTGTGTGTGTGTGTGCGTGTGTGTGTGTGTGCGTGTGTGTGAGTGAGGAGTGCGTGTGTGGGCTGCAAATGCCAGCTATTTCCGAAATATTAACCACGAACTGAGGGGGAGGACCGTGCAATGCGTCGTTTGGTGATTGCTGGTGGTAGTGGAGGTTCTTGTTGTTGGTAGTGGTGTTAATGTGATGATGATTTGAAATGGGATATGAATGATGACGTTCAAAACTGATAATGACTAACAAGCTTTAAAAATGTGAGTGAGTGAGTGTGTTACTTTATAAGTAACGTATTTTATTAAAAAAAAATATGAAGAACGCTCGATGTTCTATACAATACCGCGGTGAAAAATGTGATGAACATAAGGGCACATTTCTACTCGTCCCTCATTACATTGCCTTCGCGTCCCCCTCTCCCCGTCCCCCGCATGGCGCAGTGCGTCGGGGCAGTCGGGGCAGTCGCAACCGGACGGCGCGGCGCGGCGGTCAGCCAATGATACACATTAAAATATATGACGGCGGAAGGGAGGCCGGCGAGTCCGGCCCGGCCCGGCGCGCCGCGGTCGGAGGGTCGTAGTCGGTCTGATATCGGCCCCGCAGCGCCGCAGCCATCAGGGCGGGGTCCGCCTGCAGCAGCCCTCCCGCTCGGGGCTGGCCAGTCATTACTTCCATACATTTAGTGGCCGTTTGGGCGCGGCGCGTGGGACCGAGCTGGACCACGGGCTGCTGCTGCTGCTGCTGCTGGAGGAGGATGTCCTGCTGGGTGCTCAGTCCATGTCCCTGGCCTCCTGGTGATCGAAAGAAAAATTCGGTGGATATGGTGTGTTTTGTTTGTTATTGACACCTGATTAAAACTAACAATGAGTAAAAAATTAAGGATGTCGAGCAACGCTATTATCGTTTTGTACACACGTTTGAAACTCTTGCCGCCCTCTTGCAGCTGTCTGTTTGGTGCCTCGTGATCATGCTCCACATTCCGCGAGGTGCCGCTGCTGCCGTCGCTACTTTGTTACGGACCACGCGTACATACTCGGCTGTCCGGCCGTCCGCCGTCCGTGTGGCGGGGCGGGGCGGGGCGGGGCGGGGCGGCCCGCGGGGGAAACGACACCGGAAAGTGATTACGAAATAAGTTTGAGGGAATCCGAGCGGGCCGTGGCGTCGCCTCCGTCCAGGGCGGGGCGTGGCGGGGGCGGGGCTGGGACCCGGGATGGACACGGTCCGGCGACGCATTGTGATGGGTGACGGTCCAGCGGGTCCGGCGCCCGGCCCCAGCACCCCAGGCAGGAGGAGAGGCAGGCGGCGGCGCCTCGCCTTTTAAATTGGACTTGCCAATTTCATCCCCTTCGAGTCGTTAGAGTTGCCTTTTGTTCCGCGCGGCCCCTGGCAGCGCGTGTGCGAGTGTGTGGGGGGAGCGGGGACTGTCCGTCTGTCGCTATCGGGGACACCTCGGGGGGGAAAAATACAGGGGACCAGAATCCAAAAGGGGATTTAAAAGAGGCGGAGAGAGAGCGGCAATAGGGGAAAATAACGAAAGGAATGGAAAGTACCGTGACCCGGCTGGAGCGACGCGTCGATGGCACCTGGAGGCCCGGAGATCTTGGTGCCCCCCTCCACTCTGGGGAAAAACGTGGGAGCCCGGGAGCCCACGACTCCCTGGTCGAACGGCCCAGCCATCGGGGGCCAATCCCAGCTCCAGCTCCGGGCTTCGGTTCGGTCATTTCGGCTCAGACCAGACCTCGCCCTCGCCAGTCTTGCTTCATCTCCAGCCAGCTTCAGCTCGGGACAGGGTCTGGTCACCAAGTCAACTCAGCGTTCCGCTACTGAAGGAAGCTAGGCACGCAGCGCCCAGCCGATGGTGTATATAGTGTAAAAGAGCATGCCGGTCATTACCGTCCGGTCCTGATAGAGTGCTCCCGGTGTGTCCACCTCATCATCACGCCCTTATTGCAGATCATGGAGCGGCTGCCGGACGACGTGCTACTGAAGATGATGCAGTTCCTTTCCATCTCGGACCTCTTCGCCTGCCGGCTCGTGTGCGCGAGGCTCGCCGAGCTGGCCCTCGCCCCGGACGTATGGCGGCATCGAAACTTGTCCGACTACGACGACGCCGACGTCTACAACGACGACGTGGCGCAACGATGCTGCAACTGTGCGCAGCTGAGCCTGGCGCCGTGCCTGCGCTCGATGTCCTACTGGATCCAGTCGCAGCAGGGGCGGTGTCATACGCTGTCCCTAACGACCAGGTGCGCCGTGTCGCAACTGCATGTGAACGTCGAAACCCAAGGATTTCAAAGGAAATTCCCCCAAATTGCCCTGGGCATGGGCTGTGCCAGTGTCGTGCACGCCGCCCTGGTGATCCGCAACCAGGAGGGACTCGGCCGGCTGAGGAGCCTGACACTACGCCTCCCCGAGGACATGGGAGAAAGAGACGCATCTCTCCTGCTGAGGACGGTCGCCTCCACATCCGGACTGGAAGAACTGGATGTATTCGATGATTTCCCGTCCTGCACCCCTTCTTTGTCTGGGCTCCGCAGATTGCCCAAGTCGTCACTTAGGTCTTTCAAGTGCAAGCTGACCCCGCAGTCGGAGGACTTCTGCAACATCATATTGGCCACGCACGCAGCTACCTTACAGGAAGTTGAGCTCGGCCCCGAGACCTCGATCTCGGCCTCCACGGCTTCCCTCCTCGGTGGGCTGCCTAACCTTCGTAAGCTGGAGTGCTGCACGCTCCGCGGGCTGGAGGCCGTGGCCGCGTGCGAGTCGCTCACCCACGTGACCCTCTACGTCACGGGCGGGAAGCGGGCCGAGTCGCGGCTCCGAGCGGCCGCGGAGTTCCTGCGCCGCGCCCCCCAGCTCCTCAACGTGCACCTGGATTACGACGACGACGCGCACCGGTTCACCGCGGCCGACCTGGACCTGACCCTGGCCCTGGGCGCATCGGGCCAGTGCCGCGTGGAGACGCTCTACATCGTGAACTGGGACGCGAGTCGCTGCTTCCCCCGGTTGCTCAAGGCGCTGCCCTTCCTGCCGTCCCTGCGGGACTTGGACGTCATGTGGGTGCCGGAAGAGTTCCTGCTGGGGATCACGCCCGACACGGCGCCGTCCCTGAGGCTCCTCGAGGTGCACTCGGACGCGGTGTGCGCCCACGACTTCCTGCACACGGACGCGGTCCAGAGGCTCCTGTCCCTCAACCCTCTGCTGCAGGTGTCCGTCTACACGCCGGAGTACTGCCGCGACAGTGACCTCTGCGATGCGTGTGAACTGGGCTGCCACCGAGAACTGCGGAAACCCGGAGTGGACTACAACATGTGTGAAGAAGACTGGTATCCTAGTTCGATTCTTATTCCGCGATGAAATTGCCGTATTATCTATAGTGAAAAACCAGTCTTCTCTCCTGTGTACTTCTAAGAAAACAATAAAATAATATTTTAAACTGAACTATGGATGTTGTTTAGTTCATTTCTTATGTTTTTATTCCTCCAGGCACGGGGCGCGAGTAAAAGTAGAAAAAACGATGATTTTTAATGAAGTGCCCTCAAATCAAACTAGGATAAATAGACAGTCCCCTCGATCAGGCCACGAAGCCGCCCTCGCTTTTCGGTGTACAGCTCAAAGAAGCTGCTAGGGGTGGGGGTGCTGCTGTTCTAGCTCTAGCTTGAGGCGGGAAGCGACCCGGCACAGTTTGTCATACTTCCGGAACGGGCAGATGAGACGATATTTTCTCATAATTGGGTTAAAATGGTGGCGGTGGCCACTTCATTTGACTTCTAAAGCGTTATTGTTGGTAGTTGACCTTTACCCAGTGAGAAATCAGTGGTCGAATCGACCTCGAATCGACGTCGATTAGGCAGGTCGAAAATTTGTCGATTCCAAATGTCGAATCGACGGGATTTTGTCCCACAAATCGACGTTTTTTCGACATCGACAATTTCGATACTTTATCGAAAGGGGACTAAAGAGACGAATTTCAACAGTTGAGCTAAGTCCAGTACCGACTGTTGGTGTCCGAAGACACCCGCGTCGCCATCACGTTCAAAAATTACTGCAAGAGTTGATGTCCGTGATGGACACCTCCCGCGCTCGAACGAACAAGTCTCCAGACTATACTTGTTTGTTTTGGCGTTGCGGGTCACCAGCGAGAGCTAACTGTACAGTCAGGGGAAGACCCTGTCTCGAATCGACGTCGAATCGACATCGACCTTGTATAATACGAAATTTCATGCAATTTAGTACCAGGAACCGTTCTGTAACACTTTCAGACACATTGGCAGAGTTGAGCCGTGTCATAGGGCACTTCTCGAGTAACATCGAAATTTCGTCGACAACTTCGTTTCAGGACCAACGATAACTTCTCGAGCAGTCGACGTCGATTCGAGGTCGATTCGAACACTCATTTCTCACTGGGTTAGCCAGTTTTCCCGGACGCAGTCATACTACTACTATTTAAAATTTCATGTCGAAGCAGTGACTTTGGAATTTAGGTATGTATTACTCTATTGTAGAGGTTACTGCACGCCCCGGTCAGAGTGTCAGTCTTGGTATTTCAACTACTTGCCTTTCAAATTGAGCACACTGCAAAATCTCAAGTTACTGGGATACAGACCTGAAATTTGGTTTGTAGCATCTTTTCTCAATTTCAGTGGGGCCATTTTGTAATTTCATCTAATTAGGAAAACTTTTTTTCTTGTATCTTATAAGGGCTGAGGTTAGGTCAAAATGGGCCACAAATTTGGTTCCGCCCTGATTTAGACAGTGCAGAACTAATTTAACTTCATAGTTTACTGTTCCGTACGATGACAAACACAAGTTTTCTTTGAAAATGTATTGTACTAACATCATCATTTTAGCATTCGGATATCCCTGATAAACATACAATTACTGACATAATTTCTCACCGACATCATCCTTATGATAAGTGTCTCAATGTTGTACTGATATTCACAGCTGACATTATCTAACTGACTCCCTGACCAAGGCACATTGCTGTAGGGTTTTTCAAAAATGAATTCCTTTCAGGAGTCGCAGTTTGTCTGCAGTTTGCATCAGGTCCCAACCCTCCAAAGCTGGGGAGAAGAAACAAGGTAGGTCCTAGTGTCACAACATGCCATATGTCTGGTCTGGTGGGAAATTGCGGATGTTAAAGAGTGTGTCAAGATGGGGTACATGTCAGTGCACTCGGGGGCAGGAGGTAAGGAGTAAAATGGAATCATAACTAGCGGAACTAGTAGTTGAATGTGAGCCTTTTCTTTATTTTTGGGGGGGGGGGGGAATCACCCGCTCCTGTGTCTCTGGTAAAAGGTAGGCAATTCGCGCCACAAAATCCCTAGGCAACCAACAGTGCAGCCCACCACCCCTTTCCTGTCGCCAGACCTTAATCCTTGCCTTGTCGTGGTAACTTGAGCAAGAGCAAAAAGTTTTGTACAGTCTCGCAGCAAGTA